CCCGATCCCGGGGGCGCGGGGAGGGGAGGCGCTGCCAGCGGTCTTCCGCCGGCCTAGGGGGGAGAGCGGCTCTGGTGAGCCCACGTCGCTTCGCCGTCCCCGGGCCGGGTCGCTGAGCCACGGCAACCCCGGTTCTTTGCATTCTCCTGAGGGGATTGCTCCTGCTGCACGGCTGAAGCGTGGGTCGTGTCCGCCCCGTATGCGTGTAAGCGCTGTTTGCTTACCCTCCTTCATTGTCTAGGACTAAAGAGCATTCCTGTGTCTTTCTCTTTTTAATGGTCTGCATGAAAAGTGTCCATTGAGAATGGAATTCCCTTTTCCATTGAGCAGGGGATCCAGGGACCAAAGGCAATTTATTTGAAGAGGAGGAAGGTAACTAGGACAGAGATTGTAAAAGGAATTTGTAATCAAAAATTATACGTTATCATACTTTTCCTGTTGGTTTTAGCTATCCTGCACCTTGATAAAAAGTATTTTTTACCTCATACCGTGTTTTCCACACAAACAGCTGTCTTGGTGTGCTTTTGTTGTGGTAAGGGAAAGCGTCTGCTGGTGATTTTCTTCCCAGGCAGCTGATGTAATTCCGGGAGAGGAAAGCTGTGGATAACTTTCCTGTTATCTCCTGCAGTCTTTGAGCTCTTCTAAGAGGCAGAAAAGTGCTAACAGAAGTACATTAAAGTAATTTCCTTTTGCTGTTTGTGTGGTATCTTTGTTAATAATGGATGGAAACTGGCTTAGTTTACTCTTTTTCAAACTTAGATCCATGGTCTTCATTCCTGTTAATCTACAGGATACTACGGAGGTGGGGAGGGGAGCAGAGGGAAGAAAGATACCTGATAATTAACTAGGAAAAGCAAACCAATTGCCAGTCATGAGTTTGCTATGCAGAAATCTGGTCTTTGTCCAGAATATTTATAGGACGTTTGCACACAGAAGAATTTTTGAGAAACAAAACAAAACAATGCTTTGGCTTCTGGAGCATTTAGGTTATTCACACTAAGTTTCTATGAAATTTTGCCAGAGTACTACCAGTTCCAATTCTGCATTCATTGCATTGTATTTGTAGGGTATCTATTCTGTGTTCAACTGTGATTGTAATTTGCTTCCTAATTTAGCTTTATTTACAGTTGAGTATTACAGGGAAGATGTTTGGATGTTAGCTCAATCGTTTTTTATCATTCCGATTTGTACAGTTTATTTGACTTTTACGACAGTAGTCATAAATCTTAAAGCAAGATCACTTGTGCTTTTGAATATTTTCCTTCTGTTCTTAATGCCTGCTTGCAGCCGTGCTTAAGAATCTCAGGAACAGAGGGGGATGGAGAGCTTGGAAATCTAGCGTTAATGGTTTTCTGTGGTACTGAGTTAAGTTAGACAGTAAAGTGTGGACAAGTTGCACATTTTTTTGATTTCTGAAGGTTACCCTTCATCTCTCCCCCAGTATTTTGTTCAAAACAGTCACTGTCCTTATGAACCACTATGAACAGATACACAAACAGTGAAGATATTGGAAGGGACATTTAAAAAAATACAGACTTCTACATCTAGACAGAATTAAAATGCGATTTTATGAGGTAAACATAATCTAAATGATCTGTTTTTCTTGATTGGTGACTAAATTAAAAACATATAAAAAAACCCCAAAACCGTAAAATGAAACCGTTCTGCTCTGTAGTAGGCTGCTGTACATTGATACATCAGTGTGTTTTAGCTGAAGAATCTCTCATTATTTGTTCACAATAATAAACAGAAATTAGGACCATTGCATTATCTTTGGCCTCTGAATTACAAAATCTGTTGTGAAACTGGGAACTGACTTTTAATTTCAGTTAAATTATCAATATGCCTTTGTTTCAAGTTACTGGACCTTCTGTAGCAGTATTAGTAGTATAAAGTTTTTCTGCAGTTAAGAAATCAGTATGATTTAATCCTATGTTGTTTTACAGAATTAAGTTACTAAATGTTTCTTCCAAACTTGTTTGAAGAGGTGGAGCCTTTTTTTATTCGTCTGTTGTTTATATAGAGTGTATCAGAGGTCTGTCATGATTAAACACTGACTGTGGTCTGTTTTTAAGCTTGTGCTATAAAAACAAGTAGTAAGAGTTAAGGGATTATTTGTGTAAAAGTGGGATCTATGAGCAACACAATTCTCGCATGAATAATTAAACCAGCTTAATTCGGGAAAACAAGGTCAGTTTGTGAGAGCAGATAGATCAGACCCTCTGAAGAACTAGTTTAATGCTATCTGCTTAAGTTATTTAGTCTTCTTGTAAAAGGAGCTCCTTCAGTACTTTGAAGGTGCACCTTTAAAGATTGGCATCATAGACTAAGCAAAATGCAGGCTATGTGGAGTAGTTCATGTAATTGTTCCAGTCCTTGTGATTTTCTTCCTGAAGTAGATATACTAGTCTTTGACAATAATTGTGTTTTGATCTCCATATTTCTCTGCTATTTGGCAATACATGCTAACACTAGTTGCATTATCTTAACTCATACACAACACTAACTTGAAGTGCAGGATTGAAACAGTGAGAGCCTAATAATACTTTAGGCTAATGATTAAAGATCAAGAGTTGTTTTCTGTAGCTGAGATTGAATTTTGCTATTTATTAATGATTTATTAGGAAGAAGGAAGGAGGGGATAGAGCTTTTAAACTTGATCTTATCAGTTGATTTTATATTTTCAACCCTCATAGGAAAAAAAAACCAAAGCATTAAAATGTCAAAAGGCATAAGTATGGAAGCTTTTGATTAGAAATTTTGTGATCAAAATGCATGCTTGTCCTAGTCATGGTGGTCCGTGGTGGAGGGAAAAAAGCTGTCTTTTTCTATGGTATGTGAAATGATCTTTTTCCAGTAAGTGATAAACTTGAAAATTACATTAAAGAGATTGGGATCGGATTTAAAAACTGAGATAATTTTATCTGTCCCAGTTGCTCTGAGAACAATTCCTGAAGAATCTGTTGAGGGAGAAGAGTGTGTGTACACTCAGAGTTACGTGCAGGGAGCACATTTTTGCCGTAAGTCGAATCTGCTTTACAGGTGGAATATTTCCTAGTTGCAGTCCGTACTGTGCCATGTTGGGCACTGCAAGTTCAGTTATGTTCCTGTCATTTTGTAAAGAATAGTAGGCTCACTAATAATTAAGAAGAAAACAGTAAAAAAGCAAAGGGCTGTCAAACTGCGTACTTGCCAAATTTGGAAGTGTACGTGTTTTTCTAGCTTTAGGTATAGCTGTAGTAATTGAGTTGTTAACATGACTATTTCAAATTGCACTGGAAAAAATTGCAGGGAAAACCTGGTTTTCTTTCACGATTATGTTAGTTCTTCTGTGGGGGAGACCTGGAGAAAGTAATCTGTAACTGTTAAAAAATTTCAAACTACAGACACCCTTAAGGTATTAGGAAATACTGTATTAAAGGTTTTCTTACAATGTATCCTGTGGCACTCCTGAAATGTTTGGGTTTTTTTTTCTCATGCGGAGGTTTTGCAGATAGCTCTTCTGTAGGACTTTTGTATCGAGGATTTTATATAGCTGTGTTTACTTAGAGAAGCTGTTATTTAGGAGATCTATTTATCATTAGGTTAAATTTGTACAAAATGTTGTGAGCAGACCTATTAAGCAAGGATGACAGGATTTTCTTTTTTTATTTTAAATTGAGTAGATAGGTTGGGGGCTATAGAACTTGAAGGGTTTTTTTTCTTGCTATAATGAAACTAATATTTTAATATGAATGTTTGGAGTTCATAATATTAACTGTTGCTCTACTTTTAGGTAAACATTACCAAATGAGGAGAAAAGGAAGATGTCATCGAGTATCGGCATCAAGGCATTCTTCTTCCCCATGCAGTATTAAGCACTCCCCCACACGAGAAACCTTGACATACGCTCAAGCTCAAAGAATGGTTGAAATAGAAATTGAAGGTCGCCTGCATAGGATCAGTATCTTTGATCCTTTAGAGATTATATTAGAAGATGATCTTACAGCCCAGGAAATGAGTGAATGCAACAGCAATAAAGAAAATAGTGAAAGACCACCAGTTTGTCTAAGGAGCAAACGGCATAAAAATAACAAGGTCAAAAAGAAAAATGAAGCTCTTCGAGCTCACATGGTATACCTGCTACAACAGCTCCTCTTCCAGAACCAAAAGTACGGATTGTTGAATACAGTCCCCCTTCAGCTCCTCGGAGACCTCCAGTTTATTACAAATTCATTGAGAAGTCAGCAGAAGAACTTGATAACGAAGTTGAGTACGACATGGATGAAGAAGATTATGCGTGGTTAGAAATAATAAATGAGAAGCGGAAAAGTGATGGCGTGTCAGTTGTTTCACAAAATATGTTTGAATTCCTTATGGATAGATTTGAAAAAGAGTCTTATTGTGAGAACCAAAAACAGGGTGATCATCAGTCTTTAATTGATGAAGATGCGGTGTGTTGTATATGCATGGATGGTGAATGTCAGAACAGCAATGTAATCCTGTTTTGTGATATGTGTAATTTAGCAGTACATCAGGAATGCTATGGGGTGCCATATATACCTGAAGGCCAGTGGCTCTGCAGACACTGTCTGCAGTCCCGTTCTCGGCCTGTAGACTGCGTGCTGTGCCCAAACAAGGGAGGTGCCTTTAAAAAGACTGATGATGATCGTTGGGGACACGTGGTGTGTGCTTTGTGGATTCCAGAAGTTGGATTTGCCAATACTGTTTTTATTGAGCCAATTGATGGTGTCAGGAACATTCCCCCAGCCAGATGGAAGTTAACGTGCTACCTCTGTAAACAGAAAGGTGTTGGTGCCTGCATCCAGTGCCACAAAGCAAACTGCTATACTGCATTCCATGTGACGTGTGCTCAAAAGGCTGGTCTATATATGAAAATGGAACCTGTGAAAGAACTAACTGGCAGTGGGACAACATTCTCTGTAAAAAAGACTGCCTATTGCGATGTACATACTCCACCAGGCTGCACGCGGAGACCTCTAAATATTTATGGAGAAGCTGAAATCAAAAACGGTGTTTGTAGAAAGGAGGGATCAGTGAGAACTGCTAGATCTACATCAAAGGTCAGAAAAAAGACAAAAAAATCCAAGAAAACAGTGGTTGAACCCTGTACAGTTATGCCAACAGTATCTGCTCCTTATATCCCCCCCCAGAGGTAAGCAAACTACCCAAGTGAGAGAAACCTTTACTTAATTGTCCGTTTAATTTTAAACCAATGCTTTTAGATGCTGACTTGAAGATTTTGTGCATGTCTTCTATACTTTCTTTAAAGGCCATACTCAGAGGATTAATGTAAATTATGTATGTTGTACTTTTGTGAAATAGCATTGAAAATGCAGTAACTTCCCTAGAGAAATTAGTAAATGGTCAAGTGGTCTGTCTTGTCTTCAGAAACGTTTCTTTTTTATTTCTTTCAGACCAAGTCATGTTGTGTGTTCGGTTTTCGTCATCGTTGTACTTTTGAGAATGAACTACTGAATTCAGAATAGCATATGCAGTTGACCTTCATATTAAAAAAACCAGACAAGCTCATGGTTAACTGTATTCAGAATTTGGGAATCTGAACTTCTTTTCCTAATTTTAGGAGCCCCAAAACGAAAATTACATTTTCGTATATAAGACTTGAATCTTGTTTGTCTCACCTAAATTAAATATAAACTTATACTTTAGGATCTATGTAAGTAGTACAAAAAAACCCTCCAGGAAGGATTTTCCTTGTGGGGCACCGTAACTTTTCCAGAGGTTTTTCCTAAATTTGTGGTTTTTTCCTTTTGCAAATGCAGTAGTGTTTATCAAGGCTTGGATGAATTTGGTACCTTGCAGACTTTTTTTAGAAAAGTTAGCAAGTAAGTGATGGTAAGTTAGTTGGTTAATGTATTTTCACAGAACCTGAAATGAACGTGCCCTCCCATTCGATGATGCTATCAAGTATCTGTCCTACAACTTCAGTAAAATGTTTATGTTTGAACAAAAATTAATCTTGTTTTTGCTTACGAATTTGTACTTTGTAAGAAGTTCTGTTGAAGCTGATTTTTATATTAGTGTGTCTTTTGCAGTTCTTGCAGGAGCTTTTGTTACGTGAGTGCAAATGTAAAGCATGAACACCAGAACTGAAATTGCCCTTTACATTTAATATGCCATGTTTTGGTATTTTAACAGTGGCGATGGGGGACTGGCAGATGGCTGTAGATCTGGTGAGGTTAGTGAAGTGACACATCAGAAAGCAGAGATATTCCAAGTGATATTTTCATAACTAACGACAGAATTGGAGCAAAATGAAGATTTTTAATATCTTTATTTCAGGAGTTAAAAAAAACTGAGCCTGAACTTCAGTTAGCTTAGCTATATCTGAATTTAAAAGAACAGTAGCATCTCTTTTCAGATTTCTTTCAGTTAATCTGGGCTATGCGTTTCAACAATGGAAATGATTTGTTTCTGGGATTTGAGCAATGACAGAAAGTTTTGTGGTAGAAAGATACTGTTTTGGCTTTGTTGGACGTTTGAGACATAATATGCTGGGCTGAGAAATGCAAAATTGGACTAGGGACTAAAACCAAGTTTGGTTTTGTGGAGTATTTGTTTTGTCTCTAGCATTTACAACATCAGTGTGGTTGTTTACCCCTTGAATTAAATTCCCACAGATTTAAGAACAGTATTTCAGAAACTTTCTCAATATAGGCACCACTTCCATGTGCAGGTTCATCATACTGTCACAGGATTCTGAATGCTCAGACAGTGAGGGCTCTTAAAATAATACAGATAAACCATGCTCTTTTGAAAGCTGACTCCCAAGTCTCAGGTAGTGGACAATTAAGACTGGTTAAGGTAATCTAAATAAATGCATGTTTTGAGACTGCAGTCCTTTTCAATAATAAGTTTTGTTAATGTGGGTACCTACTTATTGACTGACTTTGACAAACAGCCTTTAGCTCCTGTGTGGTGTTTACAAACATCACATTGTTTGCACTGTTCTCTGTTATGATTTGCTTGGTAAAATGGTATTTTTGTTTAGTGATGCACTGCAGAAAAGCTTAAATTGACAGTAAGGAAGTAATACTGTTAATTAAACAGGTACTATTGTCCATGGGAGGGAGGAGTTTGTATGGAAGATTGGGGGGTTTTTTGACAAGGACAATCCTGATTGGTGGTGTCGTGTGGTTTTGGTTTGTTTTTTTAAGACAAAGAAAGAACATGAACTAAGTGAGAGTTGAGGATTAGAATGTATGTTCTCAGTTGTACCTCTGGTAATTCTTTCCATTGGTAACTTTCATAAAAGCCAGACCCTAAAAGGGTATTATCATCAGATTTTTGTTTTAACAGTGTCATTAGATGCTAGGAACAGAAATAGAAAGATTTTTTTTTCTTTTTTCTTTTTTTTTTTCTTTAATAATGACTAAATTTCTTTTCAAGACTGCAGAGAGATTCAACTTGCTTCTGTTTATGCTCAGTTTCATGTTACTGCACACAAGTATGGTTCCTATGTTCTATGTCAGAAGCATAAAAAAAAAAGGTCAAGGTTTAAAACTATTTTAAAGTTGAGCTTTACTATAAATTGTTTCAGCTAAGGGAGACTCTTGCTTAAGTACTTTGTAATATGAATGTGCTTAGTCCTAGAAAACTGATACCTGAATTAAAAGCAAAACAGAAATGGGCATATTAAAAGGAAAAGTGATTGTGCTACAGACCCAGATCTCAGTTGTCTAATTTTCTTTGGCTGTTCTTCGTGTTTTGTTTTTTTTTTTTTTCTCTTTAGAAAAACTTATGTGTGTGTGTGAGTTAAATGCATACCCATAAACTAATAATGAATGATGTGTATCATTTTGCAGCAGTCTTCATTTAAATGATCCCTTTTCTTTAATCTGTCTTTTAATGTGCTTTTTTTCCCTTGGAACTGAAACATAATTTGCCTTTCCAGAGATCTCTAGGAAGAGCAATTAAGCTATTTAAATTATCAGAGAAGAAACATACATGCTCAGTGTTTAAAGATTAGCGCTTTTTTCCTGAAGAATTTGAAATGAATGTGTTTTCAATATCTCTTGAAGTTGAGGCGCACATGGAGATATTTGGTTTGGTTTACTTTCTTAATTGTTAGTAACTAGACTATATGTCTCCTTGGCATGTAACTGGTTCTTTAGAGTTGGTATCTGGAGAAGTATAGAAAGACGAAGATTATAGTGAAGAGGAAGATACTTGGTGGATGTAGCCCCAGAGCACGCCTCCTGAAGCTTGAGGAGAACCATCTTGCCGTTTATGTTTAGTTTCAGGTGGAAGGATTGTATGCTGTTTCCTTACTTGGATAGTGACTGTATATGAAAGACTGGACATTTGAGTAACACCATTTGTAGTAATTCTGTTTTCTGAAACACCTGTCTTAATGTTCAGGATACGTTAAAAAGACTGGTGTGGAACAACACATAATTTCTACACAACTTTTGTAGCTCGTGAATTTCTGCCTCAGCTTATCTGTAGGTCAGGTTTCTGCACCACTGCTTGGAATGATTTCGAGGTGTACACTTCTCAGTTACCAGAATTTCTTACACTGATGTTGTACTCTTAAGCTTTTTGCTGTTAAATTACATAGTGTGATTCTGTAGGTCATTTGTAATCTAATTATATAGCCTCTCAGATGATCATCTGTGAACTACTGATTAAAGAGTGTAGGATCAAAAGTTTTTAACTGTTGATGATAGGAGATGAATACTTGCTTCTCCTGTCTTGTCTTTTTTTTCCTTTTTTTTCTTTCTTTTTTTTTTTTTTTTCATGCTGGGCATCTATCTATACTGTTGTCTAGGTACTGTAGAAAGTCTGTGCCTAAGTATCCACTTCCAAAGGTGCAGTAAGTCATATTAGAGCCTTAAGATGACTTCAGTTTTCAGTACTGTCAGTGCTGATTTCTTCGTAACTTGTTTAGCACTTGGAATAATACGTGGGACCACTAGGAAACCTCTTATGCATATATGATTTGCATCATGCCTTCTGGCTACAGAAGTGTGTTACCTCTTTACTAGGAAATTCCATTCAATTTGTCTTGAAATATAAAACTGTTGAAGATTGTTGCTTACGTTGTACTGCTTGCATTCATCAGCCTTTTTATTTATTTTTTTTAAAAAGGTGAGAATGAGCTTAGTCTAAAAGTCACATGTTCCTGGGAAGTGTCAGAGCAGCTGTGTTATTGGGGGGCAAGTGGGGAAGGACACTCTCAAACTGTACCCCTGTAAGGGAGGAACAGATAGTACCTGCACCTGCTGGCAAATGGTGAGTCAGGAATGTGACCTCCCCCTGCCACCAGTTCGTTTGTCTGAAGACAGTGGCAAACTTGTTCTTGCAGTGTTCGTACTCCACTAATGATGTGTGATGGCTGTATTCTGCCTAGTAGATAAATGATTTTTTTTTTTTCCCCTAATAAAATACTAAAAGTATTTTATTTATATTGCAGGTCCAGAATTTCCAAGTGAGGAAATCCTAACTTTTAGGGCTGAGTTGACAATCCAAATCTAGCTTCTTGTCTGTGTTAGTTATCTTGTACTGGCTCTGCGCTCCCATTTCTTGTGGATTCCCCGCCCCCACCCCCAACCTGTTGCTTCTCATCCTTGTCCTTTATAACAGCTACCTTATCCAATGAGTAGGATGGATACACAAAGGAGAAGAGTTGCAGTCTTAGCTGTGAAAACTATCTGGTTTCTCTTGTTTTTGACTACCTGATTCTTCAGTACAAATGACATTGTTTTGGTGTAGTCTCTTGATCTTGTGTGTCGAAAGAGGCATTTAAAATGTGTTTGCTTGATGAATAGCAAAGCTGATGTCAATATTCATGTTCTTTAAAAACGTTGTGAAAGTCGGATTTTGTGGCTATATACTTGGGGGAAAATTGAATGAGCTATAAAATATTCTATCCAATATTTTCAAAATATACACTGAGATACAGTGTAATCTGCTTTATTAAGGTACAATTCATGGAAGTATTGGTCTATTAAGTGGAAGCAGGTACTTTATATAAATATTTGCTTTCATCTTCAGTTTCTACATGGTATATTTGTAGTGTCTGAAATTAAGAAAGCATTTGAAATGCAATACTTGTACAGAGAGCCAAAAATAAGCAAAAAAGCCCCACTTCCATAATAAGTAGGAATGAGGTGTTATACTTGTTTTCAAGTT